ATCCAAGCCGAGTAATTTTAACTTAGCAAGAAGAATTTAAAGATCCAGTGTCAAAACCCTTTGACAGGTCCATAAAGATTCCAAAGCATGGTTCACCAGCATCTATTGAGTCTATCACTGATTCTACAAAAGAAACACTACCAGTTGTCTCTGATTTTCCGCTACAAAACCCATGTTGGGAGCTATCCACAAGATGGTGTTCTTCAAGAAAATGTGTTAGTTGTATGTAAACTGCCTTTTCATAAATTTTAGATAAAGTTGGTAATAGAGCTGGCGGCCGATAATTTGATGGATTTTTTCGTTATTCTTTTTATGTATGGAAATAATTTTAGCTATTTTTAACTGGGTTGGAAAATTTCCTGAGGTAAAAGAAGAATTAACTAAGTGACACTTGACCAAGTTCAAATTTTACTGCTTTTAGCAAAATAATAGGGATATTATCATACCCACTTGAGAATCCTATACTCTAATATGAGCAATGTTTGCTTGTATGTATGTATGCTTGCACCATTAACTCGAAAACGGCTCCGACGATTTTCTTCAAATGTTGTAAATAGTTTATACATGGCCTAAAATCGAGTTTACTGCAGTTTGGACTGCCAACAAAAATCAAATTAGTAGAAAAATGAAACTAAAAGTCACATTTTTTTAACATTAGTCTTATGGGTTGCTAAGTAACCATCTTGGCTGAATTAAATAACAAGGAAAAAGTATAACAAAAGACTTGTAAGTAGTCTATCCACAGTATACTAGCAAATACAAAATACAGTACAAAAGGAAAAACATCAGTTGTTACTATTGAGCAAAGATTATACTGAAGATTACTCGATACATCATAGCTGGACTTTTTTTTATCTATGATTGTAGTAAAGGCTAGCAGTCCGGAGTGTGGGAACTGTTTATGACGATTAGATTAAGGTATCTGCAATCCTAAAATGCTGAGGGAAGGGAGGGAAACAGGTCCGCGACGTAGGAAGTGGTGAAGGAAGTAGGGAGTAGATGCGAGCAGTCTGGAGTGTGAGAACTGTTTATGACGATTAAATTAAGGTATCTGCAAACCTAAAATGCTATGGGAAGGGAGGGAAACAGGTCCGCGACGTAGGCAGTGGTGAAGGAACTATAGTCTGTCTAAAATAATTGTGCGGTTGGAATTCAACATATGATTTCCCTATCATGGTAAATCTCCCACTCATTTACCCTTTTCTACACTGAAATCCACATACCAATCATCTGTTTTATATTGCAGAGATGTTTTTTAGGAAGCATTTGTTTATTATGATTGAACTACATACATAATAAAACTAGAAGATTTATTTTAACAATAAATAATCTACGTATTAATTTTTATTTAACTAGAAGTTTTGTTATAATGTAATATAGGTAATATACATAATGCTGGACAAACATTTATGCTTTATGCTTTTGATGGATTGTTTTAAATACAATTTCAGTTCTAGTAATGTAACTATACATTATTAAATTAGTTAATACAGTATCGTGGTGAACTGATTTCAAAATTCTAAAGTGATTCTTCACTTCTTATTTAGTTATTATTTTAATACCGTCGGTAATGGGAACTTTGTCAAGGTCTCTAGCGGAGCCCTAAGGAATCAGGAAGGAGCAGGAAGAAAACCATTGGGTTATCCTGTTTATGCCTGAATAATCAGTGTTCAACATTAAACTCGCTAGGTAAATGACAAGTAGGAGCATTCGTGCTGAGTGAGTAAATGAGCGAGTACTTTGCCTTTAACACGTTGACTGCGCGTGCCGATTTTAGTCGGCGTCGCCAGCGCTCCCAGGTGGCGCACGCCGACTAAAGTCGGCACCAGACCAACAGAAATATATTGAGTCAGTTTGAGCTTAGCCTCGGACGGAGACGTTATAATCGTTGCCAGCCTGCCAGCTTAGAATGCGAGCTTTACTTTGGTGTAGGTTGGTACTAAAATTTCCCGTAAAATCCTGTCTGGCAATGCTTTTGTCCCGGTTTCGGGGATTTTTTCTCTTCAACCCACATTACAAAGACACTGGATACGGATCCGTGCAGTGCTGCTACCTTTGGGTGTTTCAGTGAACTACATCCACTCTCGGGGTAACGCAGCACAGTCACCACTGCTCTTTTGTGATTCGTCAGACTGAAATATTTGAATGCCAATTGCGTTCGCTGATTCGGTTGCGCGCCGGGGCTTCGCCCGCCACTGGGGAGGGCCTGTAAAGTCGGCGCGCGCAGTCAACGTGTTAATATGTACCTATAGGTCATGATGATCAATGGAGTAATTTCATTAAACTTGTTTTGTTATTTTTTAAATAACTGTACACAATAAAAATTGTATTTTTTGATTGAGTTGTAATGTCTTGGCACCTTTTGGCCATTTCTAATTAACACTAATCAATTAAACACAGACTGAATAATATTAAACTGCACAAAATACCATCAGAATAATCACAATGTTGTTTACTACTAAAATGTAAACAAAGTGACAACTGTTGTAAAAAATTTATGAACAGTATGAATCAGCTGTAGGCTAATATGTTGTGGTGGCAGGGGCCAGGGAGAAAACAGGGGAAAACAAATCTGTCCTTCAACCGCACATTAAATTCAGACAGAGTATAGTAAAGGCAAGCAGTCCGGAGTATGGGAACTGTTACTGACGATTAGATTAAGGAAAATGCCGTGGGAAGGGAGGGAAACAGGTCCGCGACGTGGGAAAGGGGTAAAGGAAGTAGTAAAGATGAGCAATCCGGAGTGTGGGAACTGTTTATGACGATTAGATTAAGGTACGGTATCTGCAATGGGAAGGGAGGGAAATAGGCCCGGGACAGAGGAAGTGGTGAAGGAAGTAGTAAATTCAAGTATGGTAGTCTGGAGTGTGGGAACTATTTATGACTATTAGATTAAGGTATCTACAATCCTAAAATGGTATGGGAAGGGAGGGAAACAGGTCCGTGATGTAGGAAGTGGTGAAGAAAGTAGTAAAGGCAAGCAGTCCGGAGTGTGGGAACTGTTAATGACGATTAGATTAAGGTATTTACAATCCTAAAATGCTATGAGAAGGGAGGAAAACAGGTCCATGACGTAGGAAATGGTGAAGGAAGTAGTAAGGCTAGCAGTGCAGAGTGTGGGAACTGTCTGTGGCATTTATGTATCTGCAATTCTAAAATGGTATAGGGAAGGAGGGCAAACAGGTCCACGACGTAGGGAGTGGTGAAGGAAGTAGTGAAGGTGAGCAGTGTGGAGTTTGGGAGTGGATTAATGTATCTGCAATACTAAACTGCTTTCAGAGTAAACTAATGATTTTCCCCGAGCAAAGCTCGGTCCCCAGGTACTTTATTCTTAAATGGATCAATGATGTCTTCAATTTCTCTAGTTAAAGTATGTTGTAATTTCTCTCCTTTTAGTACCGTACCTATGTTCAAAAGGAAGGTACACCCACATCTATACCAAATTACTTGCTTTAGCTAATGTTTTGGGGTTTATGGAATTTTTCCCTATTTTTACTGTAATATTATTGTAGACTGCAAATAATCTTTGCAATCCCAGCTTTCAAGGTAGTGTAACAACTTTTTCAGATGATACAGCGGTGTGTTTAGCTAGTACCGCGGTTAGGCCTACAAATGGCCCCGGGGCAGAAGTTTTTTTGTTGTGTTGAAAGCGCAAGCAACAGACACTATTTGGGAAATATCTTCGATAGCGCGGCAGTAGATTCCTCCTAACTTCAGTTCTCAATCATACTGCCACGGTTTGCATATTATCATTAACTATAATCCTCTGGCTTTATTTGTAGACTATTATTTTGTTATGCCATTTTTTCATTGCTCATTAATGTCAGTTGCTTTTGTCAAATCAGGTGAGAAACATATTATCACTTGGTTGGCAAATAAAGATAGTGCCGTGCTTTTGCTTATGATGTTATTTACGTTCGACAAATGTTATTTTACATTGTAATATCACACCCTTTTCTGTGAAATGAGCAAAAAACCAAGTGGCAGTGAGTAAAGAAAGAGGGCGGAAAAAAAACTTTTGAACAGTAGTTCCTAAAATAAGTAGTTTTCACAGTCATTAAAAATTTAGGCCTAACGATTATGTGTACGGAAGGTGATAAAACCCTAAAAATGAACTTTGATGACATTATTAACGAGTTTGCCAAAAAAATGTTGGGAAAAATCAGTCATTTTAAGGTGTTAAATGTTAAAAAAAATGTTTAATTCAAACTTTTTTACAGCTAAGCCCCTTTTACATAAAAACAAGAGTGGCCCCAGCACAGATCCCTGAGGTACACCAAATTTTACTGGTTTCAATTCTGATTTATGATTTATAATTCTATTGTTTTTTGGCCAAATGAGTAATCTGAACCTAAACCAATTCAAGGAATGAGGATCCAAGCCAATAATAATAATAATATAATAATATAATATAATAATAATAATAAAGATTATTATTATTATTTTACTTTTAAGAACGCACTCTTGGTAATATAAGTGTATATATAAGGAAAAGTTAAACTTATCTTATATTTATTTTATGGTTTACGTTTTTTACTTTACTATGCGGGTAATTTTATTAACAATCAAAAATAAACACAATGAGCCTCATCTCATTGTCGTGGGGTGGGGGCGTAACTACCTCTTAGGCCCATAGCCCATCACATACAGTTCGGCCAAAACTTCTGTGGGCGCAGACGGGTCGCTACTAGCTGAACTAAAACATACAGGTAACGGTTATTGAAAGTGCTGGAGGTAGGGGTGAGTGAAAAGCAAGACACAAATGTTTTTACAAAGGTCCCCCCACCAGCCCCCTCCCCTAGACCCAACCAGATCTGGTCGCGCTTACAGAAATTTTGGCCGAACTGTACTAACCGTGGGCCAGTAAAAACATCTCACATAGCAATTAAACAAAAGACTTTGACTACAATATTTAAAAATGGTTTTAAAATTTGAGATTAAATTTAAAATTACAACAATTTATTTTTTGAGGACATAAAAAGGTGTTAAATAAATAAAAATCTGCTAAGAACAATGTATTAAAGTGCCAAGATCAATAAATCCAATAAATGCATTTTACAATCACATAAAAATACTATTGTGTACATACAGGGTGAAGCAAAATAATTAATCTATTTTCTCCAGCGCACTGTTCAGCAACAGGTTGTCTGAGAGCGGTTGGGGTAGGCTCGTTGGAAAGCCTACACGATGTCATTATCTGTAGTCATTTAGCAGTGGTCACCTGAGCAACGTGCATTTGTTGTCGAGTCGTTTAAAAAAAGTAATTATTCAGTCATTGCAACTCAGCGGCATTTCCATGCATTCTTTAAATTAGGTCGACATGGAGAGGTTCCGTACGGATAGTCAATAATATTAAACAGATAAATAAAAAATTAATAAGTAGTGATTAGAAGATTGATCCTCAAAATTAGTGTAACATGTGTGTAATGTGTGTAATGTGTGTGTGGCGTCCGATCTGCTTTGGACGGCTTGTCAGCTTCTTTTTGAACGCAGAAGCTGTTGTTCTAAAGTTGGTAACCCACCAGATGATTGTGCTACTTGACAGAATTCAAGTCGCCCTAGTTAAAAGAATGCACGGATCTGCCGCTGAGTTGCAATGATTGAATCGTTAAGTTTTTAATTCGACTCGATAACAAACGTGCGTTGCTCAGGTGACCACTGCTAAATGACTACAGATAATGACATCGTGTAGGCTTCCCGACAAGCCTAGCCCAACCACTCAAAGAATACCTGTCGCTGAACAGTGCACTGCATAAAATAGATAGCTTTTTTTCCACACCCTGTATGTATTAAACAACCAAGTATACAGTTTGTACAGCAAATAAATACCCTAAAGATCATATTAAGTAGCCAATAAGGAACTTAAACCAGAAATCACTACACGAAACAGGTTCATGGTAAGGTCTACCTATTTCATATTGGTTGCAGTGGGCTTATCACAACAAACACCAATAATAAAACACAAGAACCTACATTGACTTCATGAAAAAAACAAGCCAAGACATAAAATAGTTTAGCAGTTGTGTCTCTTCATATATACAAAGTTCATTCAACAACCAGTCTAAAGAATGTCTTCTCCCAAGGGGTAATATGTTTTTGGATAGGGTACAAAGGGAGATATTTTAATTACAGTGATCGGCTAGTAATCAGAAAGTTATTAACCGTATACGAAGGTCAAATACTAAACATTTTGATACATACAATTTTCTACACAGTGTTGACATCTTTGTTACATTACTCTGAACTGGAACAACTTGGAACAATTATCTTCTCCCTTATATGACTGGTTCTTGTTCACCTCTGAATTCTGCAGGTATTTCAATATTTGTTTCTAACTCTCTAAACACTGAAAGGTCCATAATACTGTTTTTGACCATCTGCCTCATTCCTTCATTGGCCAAAGAGTTCCACATCTTCATCAATGCTTGTTTTTGGTGTTTCTGGAGAATACACAAATTTGTGGTTAAAATTATAAACTTATTGCTAAATCATTTTAAGATGAAATCTGTTTAATGTATACATCATCCAACAAGTGAAATGTCTCTATAAAACAAATTGTCAATTTTTATATTTTTTATTCCCTAAAGTTATACCAATGGCTACTTACCAAATTTAAAAAAAATCATGTTCAATTGTTTATTTTGAGAGCTTACAAAAATAATGTTAACCCTTAAAGCCCTAAAGACTGATATATCGGGTTTTCATGAATAGCATAGAATACTAAAATTCACTTTGCAAGGGTAACACACAATAGAACAGTAGAAAATATAAATATACACTTTCAGTGAAACAGACATCTTACTTACTAATTGCATAAAATAAAATAATAATAAAAATACATGTAAACTTAATAATAATGACAAAGAACAGTAGGTTTCATAGAAAGCGATTTTAAATAAGCCTTTAGGAAATAAGCCTACATGGGCTGGAAACATGTGCATAGGCTCAGTCGCTACCAGTGACTTACGCGTTTGTTGAAAAAACAAGAATATAAATAAATATTTAGAGAATTTAAAAAAATAAATGTAATAATCATTTGTAAAGTACCGGCAATGATTCTGAAGCTAAATGAGTGAAATGGGCAATTTGAGAGAATGATGCAAGGCAGAGGGCATGGACATAAATGTGATGTGGAAAAAGAAAAGGGAATTTTAGATTTTTAGTTATATATAAAGGGTGGAACGAAGTTAGTGTTAACAAATGTTATATGTAAAATTACTAAGTATTGGTGACAAAATGGCACCAATTTAGGTTTCCCGTACCCTCACAGGTAGGGTAAGGGTAGTAACAGACAAATTAAGATTTTTTTAAATATTTGCTTACATAAAATGGCCATAAGAGCACTGAACATTGTTTTTTATAACAAAGTTATTGTCATTTTCAGAATCCTCATTAAATTTGCAATAGTAATAGTACAAATACATTAAAAGAAAACATCTGTATAAGTCCTTATTCTGCAATGGAATTTAGAATTTGTGATTTTTGAGAAATATTTAATAACCTTAGCCATACTTTATCTTGTGTATTGCCTTCCGGATTACTTCATGAATTGTATACGAGAGGTTAAGTTACCTTGATTCTGTCCAAGTAATCCTTTAACCCTTCCCAGATGGGCGAAATCGTGACGTAGAATGGGAAAATATTATAGGAAAAAATAAAAATTTATTTTCCTTATTTGTGTTTTGTTTTACAAGTATACATAAAATAAACACAATGGAACACTTCATACTGTCAAAATAATCTTTTACTTGTTTTTAATTATGCGGATATATCCGCTACCCGTCCGCTGGTGAGTAGAAAAGCAGCGGATATATCCGCCACCCGTCTTTGAAGATATGACCATGACAATGTTAGGCAATATATAAAGAACAATACGTAAACAATAAATAAAGACAACGTAGTGTTGAGCGCGAAACGTCAAGGGGGGAGCGTAGGAGAGGTGGGTGGTGCGCGGGAGAGGGGGAGATGCGGGAGAGGGGTAGGCGCGGGAGAGAGGTAGGCGCGGGAGAGAGGGGGAGTGAGGGAGAGAGCGCAGCCATGGAGAGAGCACGAAAGTGGCGCCTTGGTACCGCGAAACATCTGGTACTGCTCAAGCACCTGACGAAGAGAAGACATGTCTGAAGAGAAGACGGATATATCCACTTCCCGTCCGGAACATCAAAAACCAAAAGCGGATATATCCGCCACCTGTCCTTTATCGCCAAAGACTTAGGAGGATATATCCGTCACCCGTCCGGGAAGGGTTAAGTCGTCATTAGTGCGACCGGTTTCGATGTCTATGATGGCATCACTGTCAAGCTAGACGTAAAATTGCTCCTGAGAGTCTAGACCTACACCCTGTACCCGCCGCCGAGTTGTAAATTAGTTCTGTGGCCATGCATTTTATCGTCTTTTGTTTGTGTACGTGTTATGTGTTACGTGTTTTTCAAGACTCATGACGACCTCTTAAGAGCGATTTTATGTGTAGCTTGACAATGATGCCATCATAGACATCGAAACCGGTCGCACTAACGATGAATTAAAGGATTACTTGGACAGAATCAAGGTAACTTAACCTCTTGTATACAACTTTAGCCTTAGTTTTTACTACGCTAACCTGGACAGTAGAGAGTGTCATATTATTCAAAAACTTCTTCAACTAACTTTAAAATTATGTATAAAAACCCACTGTTTCTTTAATGCAAAAACATAATTTTTAATGCAGATACACTATTGCCATATTATTTAAGCAAATACATGTTATTTTAAAGGGATGCGATTTTGGCCATTCCGTGTTTTTCAAGAGAAGCTCTCAAATTTAAGAATAACAAATAAAAAAAAACAGTAGGTTTTTATACATGATTTTAAAGATTATTAGTTGAAGAAGATTTTAGTAATATTTGACATTCTCTACAGTCCAGTTTAGGATAGAAAAACTATGGCTAAAGTTATTCAATATTAAAAAAAAAAATCACAAATTCTAAATTCCATTGCAGAATGAGGAATTTAGGAATTTATAATACATATGTTTTATTTTAATGGATTTGTACTATTACTATTGCAAATTTAATGAGGATTCTGAAAATGATAATAACTTTGTTATAAAATTATGTTTAGTGCTCTTATGGATATTGTATGTAAGCAAATACAAATATTTAGAAAAAATCTTAATTTGTCTGTTACTTTCCCAACGATCACATAAGACCAATAGATGGAGCACGCCTATCTTACTAACATTAAAGCAGGTGAAGCCAGGTCCGCCCTCTTACATTAGGTTAGAAGCGCTAGATGTCGATGAAAACGGCACCAAAACTAAGTCTATGACACTGTTGGTTCTAATAAATACCCCCGCTGCAGCAAACCTGCCGACTTAGCGAATTTCCATTTGCCTGGATCGATTTTCAATTAATCTATTAAATTAACATTTATGTTTAACGAGTACCTAGGTTAGCTGCTACAGGGAAACTAATAAAGTGTGTTTTTTATTAAAATATCAATAGCTTAGTATGAAATAAATAAATCTGCCAAGTTTGATCAAAATATATCCATAAACAAGCCAACTACAACATATTATAATATTCTCCATAAGAATAACATGGGAATTTTAAATTAAACATTTTTTGAATTTTCACTGTAACCAATCACTGTACAAAAACACTTTGATACACTAAATTATTTGTTTTTTTAAGCTCTTTAAAAAGGTCCGGAGAAAAATGGATAAATTTGGTGTTTTAAGGGTAAAAAATGAGAAAACCCCATTTTTACCCCATAAAACCCCCCGTAAAACCCCGTTCCCATGGTCTGATCATGCTGGTTCGCGAACTAATTCAAGTTTGTCCCGCCTTACACCTTCAAACCAAATTTTATCAAAATCGGACAAAAATTACTCAAGTTATCGTGCGGATGGACACATATATATACCTATATATATATATATATATCTATATATATAGATATATATATAAATATATAAAAATTTGAACGAATGGTGTTTTTGGCCTCTGGGGACATCAAAATGAAAAAGTAAATCGGTCCCGGGCCTAGGTCTTCTGGAACACAGATCGTCTGCTAGCTTAAATTAGTAACAGTGCTTTTAATCACTCTTAGATTTGTCTTATTTTCAGTAATTTTAATGCGTCTTACAAGTTAAAAAGTGTTTTAGAATGTTTAAAACAGTATAGTTAATATTTCAAACATCTAATTTCTTAACTAAAATAAATTTTAAACTACATTTCATTCTTGAAACTTCTACTTACATAGCATGGAATAGGCCTACTGGAATAACAGGATGTAACTTGAAGATTTTGTATGAAGATATTTATGATTTTTAATTGAAACAGATAAAGTTGGACATTTGCTGTGATTATATATTGAAACAAACATATTGGATGGCTATTTTATTTTGATAACTTTGTTAACAATAATTTTACTGTGAGAGATAATGAGGAATGCTAACGTTTGATAGAGCAGGAGTAAGCACGAATTGATACACTGACAAGCTTACTGACAGACAACCACAGCCCACTTGTTTGTTATCAGCTGTTCACTTCAATCAGCTGCTAGCTGACATCAGCTTACTGATTTGTTTACTTTTGGTTTTGCATCTACCTCACACTGCTTTATGTTGAGAACAATTTATATAGATATTGTTTTTATTATTGTATTTTTATTATCACTTTATCTACTATTATAATAAATTGGACTTGAATTTATTAGTGGTGAACTGAGTAGCTGCTATTTTATAATGAATAGATTGTAGATTGAATAGTTTGAATTAAATAATCTTAAATAAATGCTTTTAGTCTGCAACTATGGAAAATACAAATAACGAGAAAACAGGGGCTCCAAAAGGATGGAGAAAGGAATATTCAGTAAGGAAAAAGGGTCAAACAAAAGGAAAAATAGATGTTAATTTTATTTCTCCTGGGGGAAAAGTTATTCAAACAAAAAAACAGCTAATAGGCTATATAGCTGCTAAAAAGCTTAAAGTTAACATTGACGATTTTGACTTTTCCATAAATTCAAAATCACATAAAAATAAAAAAAGTTGCATACAAGAGGAGTCTTCTGATGAAAATAACTCAATTTCAAGTATGGGAAGTTCTCAAAATATTCCAGAAAACTCCACTCTTGAAATCATCCAGTTCTCGCCAGTTATTCCTCAGACCACTCCAAAAGTTTCTGACACTGACAAAACACCTTTGACCAGCCATCCCCCTTTAAACAATAATAATATACCCTATGATGCACAAAACAATCAAAGTCAGTTAAAACCACCTATTAGCCAAGTTAGTGCAGAAGAGAATGTGTGTAAATCTCTGCTTGAATCCAAATGGGTGACTGATGACGTAGTACAAAGTTACTTTGATTTGTTGAATAACAAAATGAACTTAAAAGATGTTCACTTCCTGAATCCTGTAGTTACAATTGCAGTAAAAACCTTGGTCGAGTACGAACATAT